AGAGAGAGAGAGAGAGAGAGAGAGAGAGATACAGACAGACAGACAGACAGACAGACAGACAGACAGACAGACAGACATATATTATGAGTATCAACTTTACGAATTTACAAATTAGAATGGGAAGCAACAGCAAATAAATGAAAACCCGTAAGAATCTACAGTGGAACGGTTTATCCCAACTCTTTCTGAAGACCTGCATGCAAAAAAAGCATTTCCAGCAAACATTATAAAATGACAGAATTATCTTTTTCTGATTTCATCATTAACTTCTTGTTTGTGTGATAGCCAGTAACAGGATTTAATGTGCTACAGTTGAACCACAATTCCTGCACTTCATATATTCAAGTCAGCTATTCGCACTAATCCTTAAAAGAAATAATCCTGAATTTGTAAGTAAGGAGCAGAGCGCTCATACGACCTCACAGTTGCGAGCGCTGTAAAACCCTATACTACTACTAAGGAGCAGAGTAATTTAAACACTTGAGCTTGAAAAATTACAACAAACTATAATTTCACTATCCTTTGCTTTTACCGTAATCCTAAATTCATGAAAACCCTGACAACACGAATCCCTGTTTCCATCTGACCAGGTTGTTGTAAAATAATCAGTTTCCTTTACACAGGTCTCTGCACACCTGTCTCAATTTACTGACTTAATTTCTTATTTCGTATCTTATCTTACAGCATTTTTGCAATATTCCAGTTTACCAATTGTTTCGGTTATGGATTTACATCGAGCAAGGCAACATTTTGGTAAAGGTAAAATATTGCCCAACATATCAATCAGGCATGAGCGGGTGTGCACATCCAGGGTCACCTTGGGGTCACAGTGGGGGTTGCAGCTATGTCTTACGGGAACCTGAAACAGTGGGCTGTGATGCGCAAAGGCACAAGGGTTTGTATTTTATCAAAATTCATAGATATTCATATCACCCGGTGCCTTGCCGACTGGCGTGGGCGATCATAGACCTCCACTTCACCCTGTCCTGTGCTGCAACAATGGTGTCTGTTGTTCTTGCTGCTCCCATAGATATTACATTCTGCTAAAAACTAAGACAAATCAAGTCTGTTTCAAGCGTACCAGTAACATGCATGGCCCGAGCAATGGTCAAAACCAGGGCTCTGTTGAGCTCCTCTGATTCGCTGACCAAGAAGGAAGCTCCACCTTTGCCTTCACTTGAGATTCGAGACATCTGGGGCTGGACTTCTGAGCTGCCCAGACCAATGATCAACTTCAGTATGGTGCTCTCCACACTGCAGAAACAAAGGACAAGAATCATTGACAAATGACAATGACGAGAAGAGTGAAGGGAACAACGATCAATCTGTTTGCCATGATCAACTTCAGGATGGTGCTCTCCAAACTGCAGAAACAAAGGACAAGAATCATCGACAAATGACAATGACGAGAAGAGTGCTTAACACAGTGAAGGGAACAATGATCAATCTGTTTGCCCCCCCACCCCCACCCCCACCCCAAGGAAATTATTTGAGTGATAAGATAAGATAAGATAAGATAAGATAAGATAAGATAGTACTTTATTATCCCAGAGGAAAATTTTCCTTGGCTGTACAGGACCGTAAAAACACATGCAGGTATACATTTTAAAAATTTAAATTATATATATATTACTCTCATTAAAATTCAATATGAAAGGAGAAGTAAAGCTGACAAAATGTACATTTACATCAAATGCATCATTCAACCACATGCAGGAATTTAAATACTAGACCTTTGGAGTTTCATACAGATACATACTGTAAGAGAAACACACATCTATGCTCATTCTAACAAAAGCCTTATGCTAGATGGTAAAAAACTTCTTTTATATCTTTCTTTCTTGAGAGGCACGCCCATACAATTATGGTTATCTAGTGTAAATATCAATAAAAACAGCTGAAGAGTGGGGCAGTGAGAAATTTCATGACCAATCAATGAAAGATACTGCAAACAAAGCCACAAGTGGTTTTATTCGTTCAAATTGACTTCCATTGCAACATTTTTCTGGTTTACCCACTCAGATCAAATAATGGATTGGATGAAGCACCGTAGACTTTCATTATGACAGTGAACAAACCAAGTGAGGCAACATGCCGGTTCACAACCAAGTGAGGCAACAGGCCGGTTCAGCTGGCACAGACTGCTCCCCTCGAATTACAAAGTTTTATCTGCTCAGGACCTAGTCTAGAGACTTTAAACATTTAGAGTTTCACACCACGTACAGTTGTTTCGAATGCAAATCTCTGAATATCTTGATAATGTCTGTGAATAATCCTATGTTTTTGATAGAGGAGACAGAACATTTGGTTTCTAATCTCATGGTCCTAGTGACTAAAAATGGACAAAAATGTCCGATAGAACTTATTGTAAGGAAGTGAAATTGTATCGACAGTGCCACAGCTGAACTGGCATGCTGTATAGATAGATGGATAGATAGATAGATAACATTTGTATAGCGCAGATTCCCACTCAACTCTATGCGCTTTACAATCTATATTTTTACCCCAGCAGACCTGACAGCATTCTGAAACAATCTCAACTCCCTGGGAAGCATACAGTGCAAGCTGTCAATTTTATAGGCGCTAAAACACTCAACATACTAAGAGTTACAACAAGGGGGGCTCTCGTGGCCTAGAGGTTAAGATGTTGGCCTCTCATTCAAAGGTCCCGGGTTCGAATCCGGGTAGCGACCAAAAAATGTTCTTCTCTAAAATTGTCTCCTTTCACCTCCTTTCCTGTTCTCTAGCAATGTTCTGCTGTCTGCTTTCATTTCTACTTTCTGCCCCCACCCCCTTATCTCCTTTGCCCCCTCCTATGGGCTCCTGACTCTTTCTGCAGCCTTTCTACTGTTACTCCTTGGCTCCTCCTTACTGCTGTCTTTCTGCCACACCCCTGATCTTCTGGTAGGAAAGAACTACACCTAGCCTTCTCGGACAAGGGCGAAAAATCTCGGAGGGCCCGTGTGCAAGTTGCGCATGTTAAAGATCCCTTGGTGGTCTAAAATTGATAAGAGTAGGCTTCGGCCACCACCCGGGCAAAACTCAAAATTTCCTACCAACTGAAAATATTAGGTGTGTCCCGCGCGCTAATATGACCTTATGCAGTTGCGAACGCCCTAAAACACTTTACAAAAACAAAAAACAAGAGTTCCACCAATAATATTCGGATGGCTTTGACTGACCACATGTAGAGCTGGTTCTGGTTGATAGGCTGGTTGTTGGACATCTGGTGCAGGTGTGCCAGCAGCTGGATGCGGTAGTTGATCTGTGTGTGGTGCAGCCGGTACGAGAACATCTCCAGCAAGGTGTGCAGGATGCCCAGGGCCTGGTTCTCCACCACCGTAGGAAGCAGTTGGTCTGGAAAATGCCAGTCTCAGAGTTTGATCATTTGTTCACATGATAAATCTTCCACTCTCTCAACTTTCAATGGGAAAATAGAAGACAAATCTGCCATAGGCGGATTAAACGCCTTTTCTTTTTTCATTCACAGCAGTTTCGAGATATAGAGGTTTTTTGTCAGCGTATTTACTTTAAAAGAGTGTTCTTCCAAAATTTGAATTCCAACTTCTAATTTATTCAAAACCTAGTCACAGGCTTTCGATTTAGCATATTTTTAAAACATTTCGCGCTAAAAAAATTTTAAGGCATTTTGTCAGTTTACAGCAGAGAAGAGAACCATGACCGCCAATGTCTGTTTCAAACCTGGCAATTGAAGAAGGAAAAGAAATATTTCACACCCTTGTCCCAGGCTGAGTTGGACTCAGCATCCCAACTGTCAGTCAAATTCAATAGTCTCAAGGGGTTTTTTAAAATGTTTTTTATTTTGTGTTTTTTCTGACGTTTTCATTCTTTCAATGTAACACATCCACAACACAATGTCACAGAGAAGACGCTACAATTTGTTTGCTCCAATGAGCAGGAGGCATTAACAAGGGGTCATGATTTCAGCAGACAAAAGACCTGAGCACAGATAAAACATTCCACGAGATAAGACGTACTAATGAATCCTTTGATGCCCAAGCTCTCGATCTCCATGTAGACCAGCAGCCGACTGTACGTCTCCACGAGGGATGGGGCCAGAGCAGCAGCGGCCTTGCCCTTGGCCAGTTTGATGACTCGGGTCACGATGCTGTGGATCAGACTGAGACAAACAACACAGAGGACCCGAGTTACTACAACAACCCAACCGGAGTGACATTTGATTCAGGTGATGACCCGCATTCAGCATATAATTATGTGTGAGGCAGCGTGGAGGAATCAGACTCTCGTCAAAATAATCAAAGTGAAGAAAATGGCATTTTTCCGCAGGTTTGTGAATTTTTATCGAATATTTGGTTTTTGGATCAACACCTTTCATGCCTATTAAATACATTTCTGTGTGGATTTGACTGAAAAACGTTGATTGAAGGCACAAAATATGTAAGTTTTCAGTTACCACGGACTCTTCAGCTAAGGAAATAACTAATCTTTGGAGGCAATTTTCTCACTTATTTTACCTCTGAAACCAGGAGACCCCCATCTCCTTTATTCGCAAATATCTCGACTTGTATTCAAGATAAATGGATATTTTTTCATCCAAATAAAGACATGTGAACAAGCTTCAAGATGATACCAATAACCCCACGTGCCCAAAAATTGACGAGAGCCTGATTCCACCACGTCGTAACACATGTATGTATTATCATTTTAGTGACACAAGACAAAATTCTCAAAGCAATGTAAGACTTCAGGAAATAGAGGCCGAGTAAGTTAAAGACAATACCAGAATTTACTGGGCTGAGTTTTAACCAAAACAAAAGCATTATTAAACAAAATTTATAGTTTTCTAGATCTTGAAAAACTTTCTCATTTCTAAAACTATCGAATTTTCATTAAAAATGTGAAACTCTTTCAGTAACTATCACATTACCGCATAAGAATTTGCTGAGATCTTTTACAATAACAACGCACATGTACGCACCTCATCTTAGCATGGACAGTGAGTGAATCCAGGAAGTTCATCTGTAGAGGTGTGGTAGGTGCGGAGGCCACCACGCTGCCTGGTAGCAGAGTGGTGTTCTTGTTGTTGCCGTAGATGGTCTCCACCAGGAAGCTCATGGGCCGACTGAAGTTGTCGGTGTCTGTGCTGTCTGTTGGGGCCACAAACACAACATCTCCCATCATAAATGTCATAAAGTATGAAATAATTTATTTGTCGGTCCAACGAATCTTCAAGTGTGGCATTTCAGAGATAGTGAGACAATAAAGGAATACACATTGATCTGAAGTAATAAGAAATGAAGAGCATGGATTATTAGAATGTAGACATAAATTAGAGCCGATTGATACAGTAATGGTCTGTCAATGACAGGAAAAGCCAAAGGAATGAAAGATACGACCAAAAAAACTAGACCTACCACCAGCACCAACAAGCTGCTTCTAGTCTGAGACCATTTACCAAGTATTAGTCTTTCAAAACATTCATCATTTAATTGGTCAGAAATTTTCTCAGAGTGAATACTTCGATTAACATCCAGGAATATCCATCAATGCACAGGCAAAGTTTTCCTGCTATTTAAATAAATGTAAGCACACTCATCCAAAACGATGCACAATGACCAAGTTGAAGCTCATTTTAACTAATCATCATCAATGCCTTTCACCCCTGGCAGGGTATACGCCACATACAAGCTACTTCCATTTATCTTTGTCCTGGGCCATTCTTCCAAGCTCAGCTCGTTCATTTTAACTAGTAACTAGTCGAAAAAACAAACAAAAACCCAATATCATATGATTCGAACAATTGCTAAATAGTTTTGGCTATCCAAAATCACCATTTTAATCCCCTGCAGTCAATCCCACAACAACAATGGGAAAGGAATCTCCATTCATCTCCTGGGAAACCAATATATCAGTCTACCGAACACAAAACTTGGCTGTAACAACTTACAAGCATTACACATCAAAGCGATGCGATAGCCTTGCAGTGTGAAAGACTTGAGATTCTGTTTAAGAAATCTGAAAAATAAAACAAAACAAATAATTATTTTTTTAAAAGATATATTGCAGTTGTCAGAATGTAACAATAATGACTTGTAAATGGAAGAATGGGCTTTGATATACAGGTACAAAAATGTATATGCAGACTTACATTCTGGTAATAAGTGACATACAGTCACTTAACATTTATTGCTCTCACCAGCTGCAATAACAGATTTACTGGGCATTGATGGAAATAAAAATAAATAATACAGATAATACAAAATATATAAATCAATGCGCATAGCGAGTCAAACAAATCCTAGCACATAATCACTGTCAGGAGCAAGTTCAACAACAATTACAGTTACAAAAAGATCCAGCAACACAAATTAAAATAATAGACCTGTGTTTACAACTCTACAATGCTAAAATTCGAGAAACATGAACACCTCAGATCTTGCTACAGAAGGAAGCAATTCACAAGATGTCTTTTACCCATTAACAAGGCAATGGTTATTTCAAATAATATCAACTGCTTAAGGTTATACTCCACTATAGGCCATTTTAAAAAAATCACATATGATGGAGTCTTACTCTGAGCAGTTGCAATTTGAAACATAAAAATATATACGTTCCTTATGTATATTTTTCATTTTTTTTAAAGAGTTAATTTTGTAGTTTAAGAGTGCTACAAGAACACAATTCTTTACCAAAAGAAGCTGTGGAGGAAGGAGAAGAGGAGAAGATACTCACTCTAAATGTTCACGCAGGGAAATCGGGATTGGTCTCAGCTTTGTCTTCACAGCTTTTTTGTTGAGATGTATCCAGATGCAGGTGGCTGCCATCACGTGAGTGGACTGGGGACTGTTGATGTCGGGCACAGCGATTGGCTCCTTGTCCTCATACAACAGGTCATACAGCTTCATCACCGGCAGAAAGTCGTCAATCTGGCCGGGGGTATATCAAAAAGTTCAATTATTGCAGGGGGAGATGGAGGGAGGAGGGAAGGGGACAGAAAAAGGGAGATGAAGAGAGAGGGAGGGGGAGGGGGAGGGAGAGGGAGAGGGAGAGAGGGAGAGGGAGAGAGGGAGAGAGAGAGAGAGAGAGAGAGAGAGAGAGGGAGGGAGGGAGGAAGGGAGGGAGGGAGGCAGAGGAGAGAGAGAGAGAGAGAGAGAGAGGGGGGAGGGAGGGAGAGAGAGAGAGAGAGAGAGAGAGAGAGAGAGAGAGAGAGAGAGAGAGAGAGAGAGAGAGAGAGAGAGAGAGAGAGAGAGAGAGCACAAGAGCAATTGAGCCCATAACCTTGAGCCCTTGCCACCTGTACACCGACGGTGCGTAAAACTGTCCGTATGTATAGCCACCGGTACACCGGTGAACGAGACCCTATCTCCAACCCGGCCCACCTGAGACAAAACACTTTCGTAAAACAATGTTTCCTACACAAAACATTGATTTTTTTTTTTTTAATCTTTCTGAATTAGACGCTGGTACTAACAAGGACTGCCCTGAGTGGGATTTGAAATGTGATTCCGACGATCATATGATTGTTAGTAATATATCGCTCAGGAGCTCAGGCAAAGGAGCATGGTAGCCTCAGGAGGTCTGGGCTCAAAGGATTAAGGTCATGGATGCCACAACAATTCAACACCCGCAATCTTGTCTAAAAGAAGAAAAATATTTTTTTTTAATAGTAGAGGGTTTTACGGCGCTCGCAACTGCATAAGGTCATATGAGCGCCAAGGGGTGGGTGTCAACAGAGAAGTCTTTACAGGGAATCAGACTTCTCACCTCTCTAGCTTCAACAGCACAAGGTCTGCTTCAACTATCAAGGCACCCCGGAAATAGCAGGTCACAAAAGAGTGACAAACATACAAAAGAAGTAGAGGAAAATGACAATAGTAAGGATCAGGAAAGAAAAAGCAGCAGTTCCCTGTTGTAGATCAGGCACAGTTATAAGCGTGACATGAATCAGCCCATTTACAATTCCACTATGCTTGAACGAGAAATGTCCCCCCTTTGGGAATGGCCTAAAGACACTACAGTCAGTGGCACTGCCCCGGGGGGTCACTACAGTCAGTGGCACTGCCCCGGGGGGTCTAAAGACACTACAGTCAGTGGCACCGCCCCGGGGGGTCACTACAGTCAGTGGCACTGCCCCGGGGGGTCTAAAGACACTACAGTCAGTGGCACCGCCCCGGGGGGTCACTACAGTCAGTGGCACTGCCCCGGGGGGTCTAAAGACACTACAGTCAGTGGCACTGTCCCGGGGGGTAGAAGAAAAAAAGAGTAGGTGGAGAAAAAAAAGTTTCGGCTATACTCACGGGATTTTTCTGAATGCTTCCGGATATGAACTGAAGCAACACCCACATGAGATGATGTCTTCCCTTTTTCAAATTCTTCCCTTTCAGCTGCAGAATGGAAAATAGGGGGGAAGAAACAGCATAATCACTAAAGAAGAGAAAATCATACTGTGGCATGTACACTATCCTCCTTGTACATTCAATAGAAACTTATTTTAAACAATATACCATAAAAATCATTGTTAATAGAAAGTACATGTATATTTTGTCATTCCATGCGAAACGATTGTAATTATTTTCATGAGTGGCACATTGGAGGACCACTTGCGTTCTCGTACAAATTCTTCATTCACACTAAAACTTAAAACCTATTACTCTTATTAAAATAACTGACTCTGCCACATGGTAAATCATATTCAAGATGTTTCACAATTTAAATTTTAACCTAAACAACCTGTACAAAGGACCTTGGAGTGGGGAGAGAAAACATGTTCAAACTATTCAGGGACATTTCTAGGCTTGATTCTAGTGTTTGTGACATGGAATTTCGCTGTGACTTTCATAGCTTATTTGAACATGCTCCAAGAGCCTATCAAATGAGGGACTTATTTACAGGAGCATGAAAATGAAAAACACTCTATAGAAATATTGAGCATTCTCCATATACATTCATCTATTACTTTTATAGGATATGTAGGTACATATAAGCATATGTGAGGCAGCGTGGTGGAATCAGGCTCTCGTCAAAATAATTAAAGTGAAGAAACTCGCATTTTTCGGCAGGTTTGAGAATTTTTATCAAATTTTCGTTTTCTGGCAGAACACCATTCCTGCCCATTAAAGAACTCATTTTTGTGTGGATTTTTCTGAAAAACGTTCATTGAATTCACAAAAAATGTAAATTTTCAGTTACTATGGACTCTTAATCTAAGAAAATAACTAATCTTTGGCGGCCATTTTCTCACTAATTTTACCTCTGAATACAGGTGACCCCCACCTCCTTTATTTGCAAATATCTCGACTTGTGTACAAGATAAATGGATATTTTTTTCATGCAAATAAAGACAAGTGAACAAGCTTTAAGATGGTACCAATAACTCTACATGACTCAAAATTGACGAGAGCCTGATTCCACCACGCTGCCTCACATATGGGTGTGAACAAGCATGAGCACATGTGCGTGTTCACACGAGTGCATGTACCAGTATGCTGAAGTTTTCATAAATCACTGCATGACAACAATCCTGTTGTCTCTAACATGAAATACTCGGTAAAAGTAAAGTTGGGAGCCCCACTTCAAAGTGCTTTGCCTAGTGTGCAACATCCAAGGTCCCTGTTTGGTACAGTTTCATCTTCTAAGAGCAGGAAACAAACAAGGGCAGTGTGATCGTCAAGAGGTAATAAGATGTGGGGGACTGACTTATACTTTTACCAAATTCACCTGTTCATAGAGAGAGAGCACAATGCGTGAGAAGCTGGCAAACTGGAAGAGCACAAAGTAGATGAGCTGTGAGGAGAGGTGTTGCCACTGCAGCTGGGAGTCACCGTAGCCTGAGGTGTCATGCTCAAAGCGCTCTAGGGCTAGGACCAGGAGGTCCACCAACTGCTGCTCGAGGACCTCACACAGCTGCTTGTGCTGTACGGAGACAAATACATAATTCCATCAATCATCTTTTGTCTGTGGATGGGGAGAGGTTAAGAGACAGAGAGACTGGGGTGTAAAGAGAGAGAGATCGGAGGAGACAGAGAGAGGGAGGAAAGAAAGAGAGAGAGAGAGAGAGAGAGAGAGAGAGAGAGGGGGGGGGGGGAGAGGGAGAGGGGGAGAGAGAGAAAGAGAGAGAGAGAGAGAGAGAGAGAGAGAGAGAGAGAGAGAGAGAGAGAGAGAGAGAGAGAGAGAGAGAGAGAGAGAGAGTGTAGGAGACAGACAGACAGATAGATAGACAGAAAAAAAAGAGAACGAGAAAGATGCGAAAAAGCGCTTCCGCATGTGTTTGTATGTCTTGCTTTTGTGAAAAAACAGGAAGACGGTATACATTTCTGTGGACGTGTGAGAGGCGCTAAGAGAAAGAAATTTCTGACATAATCTGCTGAAGATTACCTACAGAGCATTTCGTTTCTACCAATCTCTACCTAGCATATACATCTCTGACTGCCACAGTCAGCATTTGCATCAAAAACCTCCCACAAAGATAAAGTTCTCTATCATCTGATCAAAATGGCAACGACACACAGCAAGAAAGCCGTTTTCCTCCTGCACAGATAAACAGTTTGCAATAAGTTCAAGAAGAAAAAACAGTTGCATGGAAACGATGTTGAAGAAGAAACCGACAACAGCAAAGAAGTAAGCCGTTACCTGCTGGTTGTGTACAAGAATAGCAAAAGCTTTTTCAATACATACTTTCAACATCCGCACCCCCCCCTCCCAAAAACCATTTCTCCATCTCTTACCTTCCCTTCCCTTTTCACCAGCACAAAAACTCAACGAAAGATTCACAGCTACAAAAGCCCCATTTTAGCTTGAATTTGAACAGCTTCTTGGGGGGGGGGGGGGATTCCCAATCGCTCTATTATTAAATTCCTGTTAGTATGCCATTCTATGTATCAAGGTTCAAACAACCAACCTGTATATTCAGCTCCAGCATATTGCAGACCAGCTCCCGAGAGTAAGGCTGTTCTAGGACATAGCGCAACAGGTTGGTCTGAGCCTCCTGTAATTCCTGCACACATAAAAATTATTTTCAAAATAATTTAAAAAATCAGAATATTTACTGATCCCTGTTGGAAAAATGTGATTTACAATGGAAAGCACAAGGCATATGTAAAAGTAATAATTCACCACTGTCACACAAGCCAAAATATTTCACCAATACAAACAATCTTATAAATACCTCTTCAACTAAAAATCAAATCAGAAATGAGTTACGGAGTGGAACACAGCTGCATGCTGTAGCGAAATTAATAATTTATGAAACTTGTTGGACAAAATACAATAATATTAACAAATTGAATTTGTATACTGCAAATTCTCGCTCAACAGCACCAACTTCTAAAGACACCAAAAGAAAATGTTGTCCACTGACCCCATTATAAGGCAAGGGGCCATTGAGGGAGAACTTGAGAGTTGTCCTGTTCAGCTTCCACACGTTGCTGGCTACCATGGAATGACCAACAATTGGGAGCAGCTGGTGACGCCCTGGGGGTGGGGAAATAATAATAAATTATCGAAGAGCTGCTGTGAGTAAAGAGGAGCACATCAACACAACAACGGCCATTTTGTGCTGGGGGGAAAAAGCGAGATGGACAGACAAAACAGAGGAAGAATAAAGAAATAGAACCTACCCGTTGTGCCCTCTAACCACAGGTGGTTGATGAGCTGGAGGGGTGTAGTTTTGTTAAATGTTGAAAGACAGTCTTGTTTGTTTTCGTAGAGGTTTTACGGCGCTCGCAACTGCATAAGGTCATATGAGCGCCAGAAGATTAGAGGTGTTACAAGAGAGTAACAAATATAAAAAAGAAGGAGGGGAGATAAGGACGATAGATGTTTGATAGGAAAGAAGAAGCAAACCACACCAGAGCACCTGCCAAAAGACAGTCTGCAGCAAACACACACAAAACCAAACCTTTAAGCATTCGACATCACTACCAAGAAACAAAGGTACTTTTTTTTTTTTAAATAGTGCTACCTAAGATCATCATCAGGTTTCAATACCATTCTAGGATTTCTAGTGAATAAAATTTTCAGTCAAGAAATAAAACAATTCAAACCTCTTCTCGTGTCTAAGGCTAGCCATCATTTTGATCTACCCATCAATGACAACATTTACAGTGATCCTTGACAAAACACTTTTTTTTTAACCTTTAAAAGGATTATCTGCTGTGTGTGAGAACATGCAAAAGATTTTAAATTCATCACTATACATTTTTAATTTTAAAAAGTGTGAATATTCCATTTGGAATGTCTCCTTACAAAAACATGCTATTTACAGGTTTACAAAATCTTCACAGGAACAGAAGTCTGATTCACAAAGTCCAACAAACAGTATGCCCTCTTTGAAACAGCGTGGCTCAAACAAGAAGAGACATCTAAAAATGTTTACCAGAAATGGAGACCATCTGAGCACAGTGCCGGAATCCATCCACAAAGTCACACAGTAGTTTTCCCAGAGGCTGAAATAGCAAGAGCAAACATATACTGATAGTGTTACTCTGTAAGCGTCTAACTGGTTTCTTGACAATTGTTCACACACAATAAAGAACCAGATTTAAATGATGAGGGAAGACATTAAACCCACAGTACTTTTATACTACTGCTTGCTGACTCCTCATTTTTATATTTAAAGACAGCCTGCAGATCAATCTTAGCAATGGTCACGAATAAAAAAAAGAGTCGACTATTTCTTCCAATCAATTTTTAGAAACTCTTAACCACTGATATAAAACAAATACTACTCTTTATAGAATCTAACATTCTCCGTGTGATAGAGGTTGCCCTAATGCAACCGGCCCATGTGGAAGTACAGTGACCTTGACAATAATTTATTTATTTATAGAGGCACCAGCCATCCATGTCCAGGTGCTGTTTTAGCCTCTTTGTAAGTACAGTGAATGCAGCATATTTCTGCAAGGTTCAATAACACCAAAACAATTTGCACAGCTCATCACTCAACCGCTCCCCAGTCTCCAGAAAGACTTTTAAAAAGGGACCATAGCTTCTTGAAGAACCATTACCCCTTTGCTCCATCATTCCTCTTGAAACTTATCTTTGTTTGTTCCAGATTTTTTAATTAAGCAGTTAGTACAATTTACAGACAATATCAATAAAATATTTTATAAACAGGAAAAAATGTGAAAGCAGCAACAAAATCGGATGACATTTAAGACTTACCCAGTGAGGCCAAAGCTGATTTTTGTCTGTCTCAAATCTGGAAATTTCATAGATGGCCAGATAGGCAGGCATCAAACAGGAATTCCGGTCTATTATGTACTTCACCAACTGTAAAACACCCAAACATAGGAATATAAAGGGGAGTGAGACTATTACAACAACAACAACAAAAGTAGTCAACTCCTGCTCTGAAGCCCCGTCCTTCCTTCTTCCACCCCCACACAACATAACTTGACTGACCAGAACAAAAGCTTTATTCAGACACATTTGGCAGAGTTCTTTAAAAAAACTAAATCATAGTCCTGTCTCCCCCTCTCCAACTTCCCTCTCTCATTTGCACACTGCTCATTATTCAGATCATAAGAGGGGGCTAACACACAAAACATTCTTTTTTTTCCCACATCAATCCTCATCATGTACCCTGAACAATAATATACCTCTGAAAAGCAAATATTTTTCCATCACATTATGATAATAAGCATGGCATCAAATTCTCACTGGACTGTTGAAGTAAATTTGCACAAATTGAGGTATTCTTAAGCCAAACTTTTCTTTTTTCTTTTTTTTTTTCGTCCCAAAGATTTGCAGAGTATATGAACCCAAAGAAATATGTACACTGAAAAAACATATTCTGCACAAGGTAATACCGGTGCTTCCACCAGCTGAAGCTGAAAAGTAAGGAAAATTCTGCTAGGGGTCTGGGGGTCGCATAGGCCCCCAGCAGGGTCCAGGGAATTGAAATTTAGTGCTTTTAGAGGGTTGAAAATGGCATTTGGGAGCCTGTTGGAAGAGATTGCCTACAACCCACAACATTTATTTGTTCGCCAACATTTTGTCTTGTTTGATTTTTTCACCTACATATCTTTCCATTGCTGGCAATGTTTAAAAGCAGGTTCCCCTTCCATTGCTACTAGACCTATAATTCAATTAACTTGTCATTGCACGATTGATAGAAGGCATGCCTGGGAATAATGAATAGATATGCACCTTCACAATACAGTAACCCAGCGTATACCCTAATTTTCCACAATTTTCACTTCTGAATGTTGCACGTCACAACCTCGGAACACCACTTCGAATTAGATCTGTTCTTGATTTTAGTAAATTTTAGCATAAATTTCTTTCATCACGGCCCTTATCGTGTTCCCCTGCCGTAGAATCTTCGCATTGATAATTTCTCTAGATCTAGACAATAAATTTGCAAACAAGTTTCTTTCTGACAGTAATTTTCTGTCTAAGATCACAAGTCAATTTACTTGATCAACGCACATATTTTCCAGCAGTGGCAACAGTCAGAAGATAGACAGACGGAATGAGTGAATGATAGAAAGGAGGAAATTGGCACAAAAAGTTAGCCAGATTTGGATCAATCTGCAGGTAAAAATGGATCGCCAACCAATCCACAATGAACGCATGGGGCATAGAGGAATAATGGCCGATTGCAGGAAAAGCGCAATCTGGCAGGTCTCTATAACATTAACTTATTGCCGAGAGAATTACAGTAAATATCTGTAGCTTCTACAAGAAGATACGAAGGCAAGTACGGATCTTTTGCTACGGAATTTCAGTAGATATCTAGTCCTACGCTGTTGCAGTTTTTTTTACGGAGGGAGTTGATAATGATGGAGGAACAAGTACGGAACTGGCAGAAAGTACAGATTTCCGTAAATATACGGAAGAGTGGAAGCTCTGTAATACAGACACATCTATCAGCACCTTAAATATCTATGGTGGCAAGAAACCATCAAAACTTACGGAAATGACCACTTTGATGAGCGGCAGACAAGATACATTGCTCACAATGTTGAGGAGTTGACACTTTTCTAGGACAACTTTCAGCAAGTTACGAACACCCTGGAAAATAAGTTAGAAAAATGAATCAGAACAACATGAACACAGGCAAGACCATAAAATAACTTCTAAATATTGTAGACTGGCTATCAGACCAATGGAGTAAAAGTTCCGAAGAGAAGCAACCCCAGTCACTTTCCATTCCACACCTATTCTAAACACATTCAAAATCAAATACAGGATAAGAGCATACTTTCATGAATCTATTCTTAGAATGTTGTTGTTCAAACTATGTCAAATATAGCTTCACAAAGTTATACAACGACTGAGATTTCATAATTTATTGTTACATCATGTCAAGAATGGGGGAGGTAAGTTCTTCCGTTGGAAAAAACAGGATATTTCATACCTGCTTTGCTGTCACATTTTCACAGTAGGCAAACCCATAGCAACAAAAAGGTGACAAGCGAAGAAATATAAGTCCTTCGAGACAACCCCACACAGTTCTGATTCATATACAGATAAAAGCAAAATCCTTAAAACACAAACTTAAGTAAACAAAACAACTAAGCTCAATAGCAGTCCTCGTATCCCCCTTGCAGTAAAACTTCATACACAAATATCTAAACAACATTTATCACAGTAAAAAAAAAAGAACCTAGTAAACAGTCCTTTACCTTATAATCAACTCCACCAATAATTTTCCGGACCAGCTTGAACGTGGCCACCCAGTGCAGTTCTTCCTCAAAGGTGAGTTTGTCACATGACAGCAGCGCATCACACACCGACCTAGAATAACAAAACTTTAGTAGTAAAACAGATTTGAATAGCAATCACTACCCCAAATGAGGACCCATGGCAGTTTATATAAGCGCACAGAGCGGGAATTTGCGTTACATAAATGTTATCTATAATTATTGTTACATACGTGGGACACCGTAGTGAAATCAGGTACTCGTCAAAATAATGTAATCCAACAAACTGGAAATTTTCCGCCAGTTTTGCAGTTGCATGGTGCGCTACTAATTGGCCCTACCCCGCCCCCAACCCACCTAACTAATAGTCAACAAACACATACAGAATGATCATTTATGTGTTTGCTAGTGTCCACTTATAGCACTACGTGTAGGGGGAAAAAAAGAATCTACAGCACTCTTTACCAAAGGTGCAACAGATCAGCACAGTACAACAGATCAGCACAGTACAACAGATCCACACAGTACAACAGATCCACACAGTACAACAGATCAGCACACTACAACAGGAGCACAAAAACACCCCCCACCGGAGTCAAAGTCCTGAGTCAGTATAAAAGGTAGGGGTAAAAGTCCCTGGGGGAGGGGCTGGATTAAGTGAAATGAAGAGCATTGATTTACTGAATCAATCACAGTGAATAGAAATGAAGCTAATATTGCAACTCTATGGTTCCCACATTATCCTGTAACCAACAGAAGGATCACCAAAAGAATAATTCATCTTACAATCACCACCCGTTCAAACATAAGGACTTGTTTTCTTCATAAATGTACATGAGAAACTGAACCACCTCAGCCCACCCATGGAGACAAACTGAACTTACTTCTAACTACAATCCAACCTGCTGTAACAGCCACCTGTCCAAGACAATTACCTCTACAAAAGACCACTCCCCCCACCCCCCTTGCATTTTTTCCCATTACATGTCTAAGACAACCACTTTTCCCCTCAACAACGGGTGGTTGCCTTCGATAGTTTTCACTGTATGTATATCAGCCTCTGTGTCTATTGGTTCAGAACTCTCTCCCCTCCTCGCCCGTCTTTGCCTGCACTTACTTTGCTTCTACAGTACTGTTCTCAACCAAGGACTCCAAGGCAAAGCTGACCGCATCGACCCGTTTCTGGTTCCACTGTTTGTGAAGGTGTTGCACCAACAGGCGGAGGGCCAGGTCCCTGGTTTCTTTTGGCTCCTGTGAGATTGAATAGTTATAAAGTCAATCCGAGAAGCAGGAGGTTCTCATCTATTAGTTCCAAGAGAAAGAAAGAAAGAAAGAATACCAAATGGGATTTCATCTTTTATTAAAATTTTATATATATATAGATTCTTCCTGAACTTTCAAAAAAACAGAGCACTCATTTCATCCCATCAACCTGAGTGGTGGCTGCTCTGTTTCATCCCAATATCCACAAAGGAAACTCTAAATCATTAAATAAAACCTGGTCATTTATAACCCCCATACACAAATCCCGAACGCAGACTAAAAAGATATAAAAAGACACCTAACACAATACCCCATTCAACAATCCGTCTTTGCCATCTGCCATGTAAAACAAAAACCGCGTTAGAAGGGGCTGATGAAACGGGTGCAGCCTAAAAATTAGGTCTGACATTTATCCTCTATCAAAGTATTTCAGACCAAACATTCACAGGACATCTTACGTTAGCAAGCAGTCCCCAAAATTCTTGTACACTGTCCACACATTTGTCTTGCAGCGTCAATCCAGACCTCTTCACTGATATGGGACAGTAGGCGGCTCCAATCAAAGTGTTATCCTATGAGAATATAAGGGAAAATTTAAATCTTCAAACTGGATTAACATGTAGCAGTAAGGAACAATCATTATAGGAGTTACACAACATCACAGCGTGTTCATTCTCAATTAATTTCTCCGTAAAAACTGCAACAAAGTGACTTACTTAATCAATTCCAGTCTTGTACACATATAGGGAGCAGACTCTAAGGTCCGGAATTTTTCCTTGTAATATTTTCTTTCTATTTAAAAAATGAACATAGCAAAATTTGTACATAACAAAAAAGATTCCCGCATCCCACCTAATTTTCTATGCGCATGTTAGACTACATACATTTCCAGAACACTCAAAAGATCAGCATCCATATATATTCTCATAAAATCATTAAATCAAATTGAGGATTTATCAGTACACAGCCTTTCTCCCGCTCCCCCCTCCAAATTATAATGTGATCTGTGAGTTATAACATCATATTGGAGAGAGAGGGGGGGG